GGAGGCAGGGGAAGAGATCGGCATGGAATTATATTGGAACAAATTTTAATTATTTCAGAAAGGCTGCGATTTTCGCTTACGAGATCCACGTGGGAACATCATCAAATGAATGGAATAAGTATATATAACGATGGAAGGCTCCAGCACGAAGTCAACAGGCGACTAGGGACCGCATGGGACGAATTCTAAAGATACGCGAGAGCATGGAAACATATTACCAGCAAAATTATGGATTCTCCAAACTCAGCCTAGCTGAACAAACGACAAATAAAAATATTAGATAGATTCCAAGCGCGCTGCCTTCGCCAAATCATAAATATTCTGAATTCGTACGTGTTTAGAATATCAAATGCAACAATTTTGCTCATAGCCGGGACACCAAACCATATGTCGCAATTGTTGAAACATCAATTAATATGGTTCGGGCCCCCGGACGTCCACGGCACGAGTGAACAAAAATATATACAATAAAATCCGATATTGTTTCCATTCAGAGTCAGATTTATTGCATTGCCTCACGAACGAATATGTTTGGATCGCACTTGTTACGAAGTTTGGTCTTGGCCGCCACTCTCACGACAGCGATGAAGAATGGCTGAAATAACTTTTGACAGCCTCTGTACCCTGGCAGGCTGCAAAACTATTGCTTCATGCTCATCTTCCTCCTCCTCTCCTCCGTCCTCCCGGCGCGCATTTGGCGCGTCCTGGCCGCCTTGTGCACGCATTTGGTATGCTACTGTCACTGCTGGCGCGCATTTGGCGTGTCGTTGCTCCCGCCCCCTTTTCCTGCCCACGCGCTTTCTGCGTTCGACTGCTTCGTTCGTTCATTCGTAACGTGTTGCCCACGCGTCCGAATGCAACCTCTAAAACAATTTTGCGTGTTGATGCGATGTAAGCGCTTCTGTTTTATCAAAAAATTAATTCGGATTGCCCTTGACGGTTTCGAACATCTGAATCATACTTACATGATGGAATTCCAATGGCATTCTCGCATCTGGAAAACAAGCGGAATAAACAAAACCTTGCGGAAACTTGCGAAACAAAAAATCGAAAGAGCGCGGGGGAGGGCAGCAATCGAGGGATTTGGAGGAGAGAGGGGCGTGCAAAAGCAGAGGATCGAGGCGTGAATCCTGCCCTGCCCAGGTAATGGTTCATCATATTTTCGCAACGAACCGGCGGAGTATATCTTTTGACTTGATTACTCGGGATGCAACGAGCGTCGCGGATAATATTTGGCCTTTGCGCCCAAGCCAGTCGTTCCGCCACGTCAAAACAAATTCTGTAATATTCGTAATTGGTTCCGCAGAATCTGGCTGACAAACCTCGCCGCGTTTGCCACAAAACATCCCTGAAGAAATCTCTGTCGGGAAATTTTGGCGATGCTGGTTCAAAATCTTAGAGACCGTCGGGGAAATCAATTATTTAGGTTCTTGGACATAATTGCGGGTGATTGCGGGTGCTGGAAATCACCCCGTGCTGCATCGCTCCCCGGAGTGTTGATGATGCCCGTGCAGCGTGGCTCAATTCCTCCAAATTGGCTAACCGCTGAGGTTGGCTAGTCAAGGCCCAAGCAAGGCTGAGCCAAACCCGAGCCAATTCCGAGACAAGGCCAGAGCCAAGCCCGAACCAAGCCCGAGCGAAGTCCGAGACAAGCCAATGCCAAATCCGAGCCAAGCCCGAGGTATGCCCGAATCATGCCATTTGGCACGCGCAGGCCACGCCCGAGCCAAACCGCAACCAAAGTCGAGCCAAGCCCGAGCCAAGCCCGAGCCAGCCGGAGCCAAAGCCCGAGCCAAACCAATGCCGAGCCAGAGACAAGCCCGAGTCAAGCCCGAGCCAAACCCGAACCATACGTCCGAGCTACGCCCGAACCAAGCCAATTCCAAGCCTGAACTAAGCCTAGATCAAGCCCGAGAAAAACCCGAACCCCGAGCCATGCCCGACGCATGCCCGAACCAAGCCCGAGCCAAGGCTGAGCCATGCCCGAGCCATGCCTGAGGTCAAACCAGGCAGCCAACCCGCAGCCAAGCTCGAGCTAAGCCCTTGCCAAGCCCTTGCCAAGCCCGAACCATGCTCGAGTCAAGCTCGCGGCACGCCCGAGCCAAGTCCGAGCCATGCCAGTGCCGAGCCCGAGCCAAGCCTGAGAAAAGCCCGAGCCAAGCTCGAGCGACGCCCGAGCCAATTCCGCGCCAAGTTTGAGCCAAAAAGCCCGAGCCGAGCCCAAACAAACAAAGCCACAATCAAGCCCCATCCATTCCTAGTCAATTAGCGCCTAGGTGGCGAGGCCGCAGCTTGGACCGGGCAGGCAAAACGACCAACAGAGTGACATTAATATTCCAGGAGTGAGGCGGAGGATGAGGAGAAGGTGGAGGAGGAGGAGGAGGAGCAAGAGGAGGTGTACGAAGAAAAAGGAATGGCAAGAAAGGCTGACAAAACACCTAACACAACTCGCGCGTGCGTAGAACGAACGGGATCTCTTATTTCTGAAACGGGCCGTATCTGTTACTGACGCGGGGGATATTGTTACCGAAACGGGTCGCGCTTGTTACTGAAACGGCTCGTGCTTGATATTGGACATGTCTTGTTGCTTCTGGAAAGGGTGCCTGATCTCGACGCCACCGCCAGCCGAACAAAGCCGCTGCCTTCCGAACTGATTTAGCTGAGAGGCCGCATGAGCACACCACGGCTAGGAACGACTGATCTGAATACACCCCAAGTAATACTTGAATGACGCGCTTATGTGTAGTACTGCTGTGTTTCCCTCTACCGCTCGCAAGTTCGACGCAGTCTTCTTCACAGTTGCGGGTGGTTTGTGCAAGGCTCCTGAGGCACGTGCTTGGCTATCATACTTTGACCCCGAGTTCGATAAGAAGTTGAGGAAGACGCCCGACAAACACGACCACCGCGGCACTCCGATACAAACCCTCAGCCTCCATCGGGGGAACAACTCACCGAGAAGATCGTCCTGGAGTCGCCCGGCTACCAGGCGGATCACGCCATATTGACGCAACTGACATGGAGATCGGAATGAATTACAAAACGTTCGGACGACGATGCATGTTCCAACATGAATACGGGGGGCGTTTCCTACGAATCTTGACCAAAGGCTTGGTGGAATTCGAGCGGGCGCGATTATTTGGGGAGCCCAGAAGACAACTCTGAGGGCGACTGTGTATGGACATTGGTATCATTAGTGCCACTTCCCAGGGCGTTGTCCAGACTGCATCGCTTGGATGACAAACAGGTGAACGCCATTTGCCCCAGTGCATTGCCTTGCCCGATGCTGGACACTCGGGTCAACTACTCGACAGAGCACGGAGCAGCGCAACGAAAAACTACCCCCTTGCACGACAGAGCCATCTTGCAGAAGAAGATGCCGACAAGCAGAGGATTGAAACAAAAATGCCGCTCATCAAACAAGGGGAAGGGAGCGGTGCCCGCGTGCTTGCGTCCACAGGCCTGGCCCCTTTGCACCACAACTTGCACCACAATCACCCTGGGCGAGTTGACCAACCTGCAATTCTGGCCAGCGCACCGAGCAAAACTCGAGGGTGGATAGAACCCTCTTCAACAAAGCACCCTTTAGTGAAGACGACCCTGGAGAGGAACTGGCGGGCGCAGGCACGCTTAAACTGCGGGCACAACACCCTCTCGAGGGCCGAGAAAGGGCAATTTGCTCATCGACATGCTGAGTCATCGGTCATCTGTCGCGTCATTGCCGCCGTCGCCGTCTCGTCCGCCGACGTCGCCGTCGTCCCTGGTGGCTGCCTGGTTTTTTGCCCATGTCTGGACCTCGCGTGCCCCCTCGTGGGCGCGCGCGAGGAAAACCTGGAATCCTGGAATCACCCTCGCACCGTCAGTCAGGCCGCCCTGCGCTTATAGGCACCATGTTGTGGCCCACGATGCAAGCCTCGTTCATGACGCGTGCCTGCGGTCGGTGCTCTCTCCCGAATCCCACGCGCGGCACGCCCGTGCACGTTCGCTCGCAGGCAGGGGGAGAGACGCGCCCTGTCCTGCCGAGTGCCCAGGCCGTCCCGCGTCGAGCCCAGCGCTATTGGCCATGCTATCCTGTCTGGGCTGGAAGCTGAAACTGAGAAGCCCGGAGGGCTTCGTCTGGTAGGCCCTGGCTTGGGAGGAGGTCCACCAAATAAGTATAAAAAGGAAGGGGGGCAATCGCATTCAATACTGTATTTAGTCCAATCGCGTCGCGTCACGTCGTCTGCGCCGCCTCGGCACTTCGGTCCTACCCGCGACGCGCGCGCATCGCATTCACATCGGCGCGCGTGCGCACAACATGGGAAGGTCGCGCGCGGCAATAATGCAAAAATGCAGCTGCTGCAGGCTCCGAACTTCCTTCTGCGGACAAGGTCTCCCTGCAAAATGCCACGAGGACACCGCACATAATGAGACGCCCGACCGCGGGCACAATTGCTTTCTCAACGCAGTGTGGGCAGGTCGGTGACGGGCCGTACGTAGGTCGCAGACTCCGGCCGGGTCGCGGAGGTTCACGGGGGGCGCGAGGTCGCGATGGGCGTGGGCGGGTCCTTTGGCCTGGTCGCTTGTGGGTTGCGGGGCGACGGCGACGAGGCCAGGGACAGCGCCAGACCATTCGACCCCTTCGCCTTGAAATGTACCCGCCGACGTGCCGCAAGACACTGCGTGGAGCGTCCTCAGGTCCTCAAGCCATTTCAAAAACACTCTTGCAGAAACTCAGACGCCCAAGCCACGGAATCTCGGGCGGGTCTCGCGTTCCCTTGGGGCTTGTCGCAAGGCTTTCCTTGAGACCAGATCGAACGCAACATCAGCATCCGAAACCCGACCACCTCCATGGGTGCGTCCCGACCAGAATCTTGAAGGGAAACCCCTCGTGGCGACGAGAAGCCTCCAGGAGCTCCCTCACCACAAGACTGAAATCGCTAAAGCGTCTAGATGATCCTGCTCCTCCTGCCTTTCCCCGTCCCCCGTCCCCCCCCCGGGTACGGCGAGGGCCTCCTGGGAGATCAGGCAGCATGGGCAGAACAGCGCCTCGCGCGGCGCCGCGCTGCACACCCACCTCCTCGCACGCCGTCCTCCATGCCGCCTCCTCCCCCGTCCTCGCCCCCGTCCTCGCCCACCTTCTCTTCCTCTCTCCCTGAACATTGGGATGGGTGCGGGGTGGAAGGGGAGTGCGGGCAAGGAGAAAGAGAGACACGAGGAGGAGGACAGCGAGTGAGGAAAGGGGAGGGGCAGAGGGGGTAGGAGGAGGCAACCTCTTTTCTACTTCTTCCTCTCCTTCTCCTCGGCTGTCTCTCTGGGCTGGCGATGAGGAAGAATGCGGATGAGGAGAGCGTGCCCTGAGTAGAAGGAGTGATGGGAAAGAAAAAAAGGAGGAGGAAGAGGAGGAGGCGGATGATGAGGAGGATGAGGTAAAAGGGCTAGGTCGGGGACAGCGTCGTCATCGTCGTCGTCGTCGTCGTCGTCTGGGGAGGAGGAGGAGGAGGAGGAGGAGGAGGAGGAGGAGGAGGAGGAGGAGGAGGAAGAGGAGGTGGAAGAGGAGGAGGAGGAGGAGGAAGAGGAACACGAATGGGATGAGGAGGAAGCGGCCCCCCTCTCAACCTTCAACATCGCGCTGCCGGGGTATACTCCAAGCCCTCGGGCTTCCAGCTTAGCCTGTCTCAAATGCCTGGTCTTTCAATCTTCGCGCTGGCCTCGCTAATTCGTTGACGCCTGGTCTTGCCCCCTCCGCTCCGCCTCAAGACCGCGGCGGATCGCAGCACGAGGCCCGCCTCGGGCCGTGCTGCACAGGCCGCCCCAGCTCCTCCTCCTCGGGTGATGATGATGGTGATGCTGATGCTGATGATGGTGATGATGATGATGATGATGATGATGGTGATGATGGTGATGATGAGGAGACGCATCTTTTTCACTCCACGTGGCAAAGGCGCCTCGCTCTCCAAGGCGCGGGGTCGCGGCCCAGCGGCCAGTCTGCCCGGGCCGTCTGCCCCCCCGCGGGGCGGCAGCCTGTCTGCCAGGACCGCCAGGACCGCCTGCGCCCGCGGGGGAAGGGTGCGCGCCGACCAGCAAGCTGCTACGCGCGCCCTGGCCTCCCGCGCCCGCCGTGAGGCCGAGAGAAACACCGCTGGAAACCGCGCCACAGAAGCGGCGCGGGTGGGCGGGGCCCCCAAAAAACTGGCCCCGCACGGGGCCTTGAGCCTAGAGGGCCAAAGAGGAGGCGGCTGCGCGCGCGAGCAAAACCCTCCGTTATATCTAACGTCCAAATGTTGCGTCCTTTTCCCCGCCTCAAGACCGCGCCGGATCGCGGCGCGAGGCCCGCCTCGGGCCATGCTGCTCAGGCCGCCCCCCGTCCTCCTCCTCCTGGAATGATGATTGGGGGGCGCGCGCGCACCTTTTCCAATCCGCGTGGCAAAGGCGCCTCGCTCTCCGAGGCGTGGGCTCGCGGCCCGGCAGCCTGTCTGCCTGGGCCGCCAGCCCCCCGCGCGCCCTTGGCGGCCGCCGCCGCTCCGCCGCGCGTCGCGAGCCACGGGGCCCACCTCGAGGGCCACTGCCCGCGCTGGAGGGGGGGCCTGGCCCTGCCGCTGCCCAGCACTCCTGCGCCGACGGCGCCCGTGTCCTCTCTCCGCTTCGGCGTGCGGCCGCTCCGTGACCTCGGGGGCCCCCCCCTGCGCGTTCGCCCTGGGCCTCCGCGGCCAGGTGAGCTACCCTGCGCTTCGGGCCTCGGAGGCCCCTCACGGCTGCCGAGCCTCTCCTCCTAAGACCATGGTCAGGCCCGCGTCTGCCATGCTGCTGACCACGCCGTGCGCCATGTCCCTCGCCTCCCACAAGTAGCCCTGGAACGCGCCACTGTTCCGGCGCCCCCAGCGCTGCGCCAGCGCCGTGTCCTTGAACGCCGCGTGCAATTGCACGCGGCGTCCAAGGACACGGCGGATCGGTGGAGCACCCGCGTTAACGCGGGTGCTCCGCTGATCCGCAGGCTGCGGGGGCCGAGGTCGTTCGGGCCCGCCCCCTCTGCCGCGGCCGACTGCGTCGCCGCGCGCTGGGCGTCTGCTCGCGTCGCGAGCCTGGCGTCGTCGTTGGTGAAAAATGGGTCGTGCATCCTCGTCCCTGAGAACCTCTCGCGCGCCCAGCCCTCGTAGATCGTCGGAGCCTCCACGACGCATGTGCGCCCCTTCTCCGCTGGCTCCGCCGTCGCCTCGACCCTGACATGGCTGCGCCACTCACCCCGGTCGCCCTCGTTTGCCTCTAACCAGTTCCTGCGCGGCTCGCCCGCCGCCTTCGGCGTGACGTCGACGTCGACCCCTCGCAAACCCTTGCCGCTCGCGTCGCCGTTCTGGCCCCCGGATACGTACTTGCTAGCCTTCAGCAGGAAGAAATAGCTCATTGCCACCGCCGCCCAGAGGGCCGCGCCCTCGCGAGACCTTTCCGGCTGCAACTTCTTCCAGCTCCACCGCGTCGCCCCAGGGGTGACCGGCTTCTTCCGCTGGGTGCCCCCGTCGCACCCCCCGAGGCCATCGATCGCCATCCAAAGCCTTCCTGCGCCCGCCGTCAGGTCGCCCATGCCGAGGGCCAGGTGCTGGGCGCGGACTGTAATCGGGCACTGCTCGATGGTGCCCGCCTTCTTGCATCCGAGCCTGGACAAGTGAGCGCCGGGCTCCAGCAGCGGCCCACCCTCCCCCCTCCGATTCGCGAGCGCGGCCTCCCGTGGCGGGCTGATGCCGCGCGCGCGGCAGGAGAGATGCCACCGCCGCCAGCCCAGGCTGTGCGACTTGATGGTGGAGCTCGCCAGCCTGTCCAGGATGAGATCCAGCTTGGCCTTCCCCCAATCCTCGCGCGTCTAAAAAGTCCGTGCACGCGGGTCAGGTCGAGGGGCCTGTCCTGGACATCTTCCGGCCCGAGCAGGTTCGGCGGCCGGTGCTGTGCCGGGCCCGCGCCCTTGCCCCTGCGCTTCTTATTCTGGGAGGTGGCTCCTGCCTTGCACTCTTCCGCTTAGTGCTGCATCTGTGCCGCAGGGGCCCAGTCGAGCCATCCTTCCCTCTGATCACGTTAGCCCCAGGTCCTGACCAGCTGGTCCAGCTGTTCGCGCGCTCCCTCCTGCTCCAGGCATCCGCTCCTCCGGCTGTCATCCGCCTCGCGACCGCCATGCCCGCTGTCGTCCGCCTCCCGGTCGATCCTCTTGGGCGAACAACTTCGCGTGCGCCCGAATGCCCTCTGCCCCCGCACTGGCGCCGCCTGAGCCCCTGGTGTCGCTGAGGTAGCGCGCCGCAGCCTCTGGGTCGATGCTGTCGCCGCCCTCTGGGCCTGGCCGCTATTGTCCTCGCCTCCCGCCGAGGCGGGCCCGCGCCCCGGCGTGGCGGGCTGCGAGGCCCTCCTTTGCCTGGCCCCCCGCCTCCCGGGCTCCTCGGCCGCCCGCGCTTCCCTCTCAACTCTGATGGCCCTAGCTAGCGCGCAGGGCTGCCATCCTCGCTGCCTCCTCCTCAGGGCTGCCATCCTCGCTGCCATCCTTGCTGCCGCCCGCGCGCCCCCCGTTGCCCTGGGCTCTGCTCCCGGGCCTCGCGGTTCCTCTGTCGGAGGCCTCCCTCTTCCAACACCTGGGTGGGCCGCGCCGCCCTCTCGGGGCCAGCTGCCCCTCCTCGCTGCTCGGGCGGGCCGCGCCCGGACGCCGCTTGCCCGCGCGCGCTGGCGCTCGACGCTTCGGTGCACTCCTGGCCCCGGCTGGCAGGCCCCCGCCCCTCGGACGGCCGCGGCGACTCGCCGTTGCCGGGCCGCGGCGTCGCCAAGCTCCGCGCAGTTCACCTCGACCTCCTCCCAGCTGTAGCCCGCTGCCTTCAACTTCGCGTCCGCGGGACTCAGCTCGGCTGGCCCCATGGCGTCCGCGACCGCCGCCATAGCGTCCGCTTGGATGATGAAATCCGCCCAGCGCCTTGCCTCCTCGCCGTCGTCGTTCGCGAGGCTGGCCGCCGCTGCGTCGGCTGGTCCACTCGGCCACCTGGTGGCCGCAGCGCGTGGTCAGCCACTGGCGCCCCGGCCGCGCTGTGCAACCGCGCGATAGCGCCCGCCTGGCGCCTGCACTGCGCGGGGCTCCCAGGGCGCCTCTCCACTCGACGAGGGCCGCTGCCGTGCCTGGACTCATCCTGAAGGTGCGTGGCCGATGGGGCTCGCGACGCACTACCGCCGGCTGTTGGGCTGCGCGCGCGCCCTCGTCGCTCTGGCCTTTCCAGATCCAAACCCGGAGCAGCCGGCCACTCTCGAAGTGCCTCACCCAGCTCTCGCAAGTTGACCACCTAGAGCCCCTTCTCAGCCGCGAGTGCCGCGGCCTCCCCGTCCTCCACGCGGGAGGAGGTGGCTGGCCACCTCGTTGCCGTAGACCGCCGCCAGGCACGTGATCACCACGATGAGGAAGCTGGCGTGGCGGTCGTTGGCTCGTCGATTTTGCAGCCGGGCGGTGGGCGTTGTAGTTGCCCCCGCCGCGCGCGGCCGCGCCTCTCTCCCGCCGCCCCTCCGCGCCCGCCTTGGCCGCGAAGGTGGCCAGGTTCGTGAACTCCGCGATCGCGATGATGGCCCCCCCGTCCTCCTCGACCTCCTCGACCCCCGCTGCCTCCGCGAGCGCCCGCGCGTAGTCTGAGGTCTGGGGCCGAGCGGGGCGCGCTTGGAGTTCACCCAGTCGACTGTGGCGACCCTCTGCAGCGTCGCGCCCCCCGTCGCCCAGATCATCCGGCACTGCGCACCTGGGAGGGCCAGCCACCCGTTGATCGAGAACACGCCCGACGTCGCTCCGAGGAAACGCGACGCCCACTTCGAGCGACCCGCAGCCAAGACGCGAGCGACCTCGGTGGCGTGCCAGAAGTCCGACCACGCCAGGATCCCCCTGGCGTCGTCGTCTCGGGGCCCCGCAAGCCTCCGGGGCCGGCCCATCGCCAGGGCGTCTGCGGCGCCCGCCAGACACCGCGTGGCCGGCGTGACCAGGCCCAAATACTGCTGGTTTCTCCGGTAGACCTCCAGGAAGTTCCAGGGGGTGCTCTGCTGGCCGCAGTCCAGGATGGCGTCCGCCAAGAGGTGGGCCGCCCTCTCGATCTTCGGCCCGGGCAACTCGATCGCCCCCTCCTCATTTCGGTGCAAGAGGCCCCGACAGATCTTCGCAGTCTCCCAGCCTCCTTCTTCCAAGTCCTTCTCCTCGTTGGCCGCGCCCTCCCCCGGGCAGGTCCGAGCGCCCTCCGGGGCCACGGCGCCGCTCTGCGCCGCCCGCGCGCCGGCGCCCGCCCCCGCGAGCACCTCGTCGCCATCGGACAAAAAAAAAAAACACGTGGAAAAGGGGCGGCGTCGCCCCAGCGTGCGTCGGCCAGGCGGCGGGCTGCATGATGGCGCTTGGGCGCTCGACCTCGCCCGCCGCGGCCTCCTCCAGGAACGGGGCGGAGTTAGCGAGGGCTGCTCAAGACGAGCCGCAAACCTCCCCGACGTGATGGTGAGGTCGTTGGGCGTCATCCAACGACGCCCTCTCTCGCTTTGACCTCATTCTTCACGCGGGCTTCGTCCGCTGCCTCGACCTCGGATGGGCCGCGCCAGGACAGAGCCGATGCTGCGTCGCCCGCCAGGGCCACCATGACACCATGTCCCGTCTTGCTGCCGCCAGCGAAGCCCCTCAACGTCCTCGCGATGAACGCAATGCACGCCCATGCCTTTCGAAGGAACCGCGCCGCATAGCCGACGACGGAGCCCAGGATGATGGTCACCCCGAGCGCCGCGAGTCCCATGGCCGCCCACTGCAGCTTCGCCAAGTACTCGCCGAACAAGTAACGACTCATGGCGTCGACCATCCCCATCATGACGTGACTGATATGATGCAGCACAACGCTCAGCGCTCGCCCGACCTTTTCGCTGAGCAGGGTGGCGCCGGGTGCCGCGCTTGGCCCCTCGTCTCGCTTGCCTCCTGCCGCTGACGTGTTGGGCGCGCTCGTCGGCGACGCTTGCCTCTTGCGCTTCCACTCCTTCAGTGGTAGTTAGCGCCCTCCTTCTGCTCTGAATCCGCCCTGGTGGCATTGGCCTCCTCGCTGGGAGGTTGCGGCGCGGGCGTCGCCGCTGGGCTGGCGTCCGCGTGGTAGTGGTCAAGGTCGTAGTAGCGCTCGTGCTCGCCAGGCGCCTGGGGGCGCCCGCCCGGATCGGCCCTGGCTGTGGGCGACTCCGTGGCCGGGGGCCCCAAGAGAGCGAGGGTCGCCGCCGCCGAAAGTGGCCCGGGCTGCGCCGTCAACTCCTCGATGGCTAACGGCGTCACGCCGTTCTCGCTTGAGCAGCTGGGCTGGCCTTCTCGGCTGGGCCGCCCCGCATGCTCCCCTTCCTCGCCCGAATCGCTCTCACCAGGGCCCGCCCGATCATGGCCGTCCTCGGGCGCCAAGACTGTGGCCGTCGCAGCAAAACAGGCGTACAGGCCCACGCCAAGAGACGCGTCCAGCCACGTCAGTCTCGCGAAAATGGCCGTCGCCACGCTGCACTCGAGCGTGTGGACGGGCCGCATCTGGCGGCCGCAGCGGGCCGCGCGACCCCTCCAGTCACCGCCCGCACTGGAAGAGGGTCCTGGCCATGCCACTACCCAGCACTCCGCGGAACGCCTGGCCCAGGCCGCAGGCCGGGCAGGCGAGCTGAGGCCCCGCCCGCCCACCCCGAAAAAACTAGCCCCGCACGGGGCCTTGAGCCCAGAAGGCCGAAGAGGAAACGGCTGCGCGTCCAATTCTGAGTCGGCTCGTGACAACCTGTCTTTATCTAGGGCTCAAGTTGGTGCAATGACAAAAAAGAGGGAGGAGGCGGCGGGAGGAGGAAAAGGAGGGAGGAGGAGGAGGCGGAGACAACAGGTTGATGGGAGGGAGCAGGACCAGCCTCGTTTTCAGCCCGATGCCCGGACCGAGCTCCGCCTTGCCGCTCGCGGCCAGGTGCTCCCGCACCAGGGCGCACAGGGAGGCCACCAGGGCGGGCGGGCCGGCCTCGGCTCCGCCAGGGCCCTCCGTAAGGGCCAGGGCGCGCGCGAGCGCCTCGGGACCGCAGGGCGACGAGATCTATACACATGCGCTGCCGCTGGTCAGGCCCATGCTCGGCCCAAGCGCGGCGTACGCGCCCCCTCCCAGCTTGGCCAGGGAGGCATTCCACACTGCTGCCCGGCCGCGGCGGTGGACGTGTAGGGATCTCGTCGCCCAAGGTCGCAGCCCGGTGGCCACCGTGGACTCGACGGCGCGCCCCGCGGAGGGGGGAAGCAATCCCCGTCGGAGGAAATCCCTGAGATCCTGGCGACGCATCTGTTCAACAACGGGCGATTTCACTCTGTTTCGGGCCCGGGGACTCACAGATCGATCCGGCTCGAAAAATGGGGTCCGGGGCTCTGGTGGTTCTACTTTGCGATGCCCCCATTTTCTGCAACGTCAGATCTCAACGCCTTCCGACGTTTTTGTCAGATTCTGCAGGTTTTCCAGCCTCGGCGCGCTTCCTAGCAGCTGCGCCTCCCCGAAAGCGTTCCGGGGGTGCCCGGATCGTCCCGCGCGGCCGCCGGAGGCCTTCCGGTCTTGTGGCGAGTTGTCTGAACTTTCCCCGTAGCCACGGAAGGCTAGGCCAGAGGGCTTCTGCGAGGCTGCGCCTTTTCCCGACAAAGCCTGCCCCTCGCACTTTCCCCCTCGGCGCGCCGCCGAGTGACGGCAAGGGCCTCCGACCAACCAGGTCCCCCAACTTCGCGCATATCGCGCCTCGAGAGATCGCGACGCGTGGTTATCTTCGCGCTCTTCGCGCCGCCCCCTTGGAGAAGGACAGCCGCTCTGGCCCGGACCGCGACGCGTGAAGCGCGACTGTCCTTGCGCACCCGCGGGTGACCTAGCGGCGGCCACCGCGACGGCCAGGGCCTCCAGAGGACCGACCGGGCAGACCCCCCAGCGGCCAGATAGCTGTCAAGGCTGGCCGTTTTTTTTTCGAGGGGGGCGGGGGCCCCTGCTCTTGTGGCCACGTAGGCTTCGGGCCTGGGCCGCCTCCGAGTCCAGCGCAGACACCGGCAACGGGTTGTCCGGCAGCACGAAGCCGCCCCGGAAGAGGCGCTCTGCGTTGTCCACGGCGCCGTACGCCTGGATCAGCTCGCGCCCCTGTGGCACGGGCGCTCCGTTCCCTGGCAGCATTCCGTAGAACTCACCAGAAGCCTCGCCCTCCAGCTCCAGCATGTCGTACACCTCCGTGGCACTGGGGGCTGCGCACAGACAGCCACGAGGTATACCCCGAACTGGCCTCAAGGGGCCCCCCAGAAACAATTCTGGGCGGCCCCGCACCGCCGCGCCCGCCACGGACCACCCTGGGGGCCTGTGGAAGCCAGCATGGGCTACCTTCAAGGGCTGCCCACGCGCAGCCCTGAGATCCGACTTTTCAGAAAATTCCAGCGAACATCACGACCGGAGCCTTAGGCAGCATCTTTCGCGCCATTCTTCGAGCCGACTCGATCTGTGATGTTTCTGGGGCCTGAAACCAAGCGACAGCGCCCGTTGTGACAAAAATCTCATCGCCAGGATCTCAGGGTACCTCCGGGGGCTGCCCGCGCGCAGCGCCAACCCCTGGCACGCCTCCATGTTGGGGCTCGGTCCCGCGTTCATCATGTCGCACACCTCGGGCACGCACTGACCCAGGTCAGCCCAGACCAGGGTCGGGCAGGGCCCTGTCGCGAAGCCCGGCCCGCCGATTAGTAGCTCCCAGCCCCAGGTCGGCGGAGGGCGGGAATGGGGAATCGGCCACACGTGGCTCCCAAACCCAGGTCAGCCAGAGGGGATTGGCAAACCCCCGCTAGCGCTGACCCCCGTTACATGAGCCCCGACATCGGAGGCGAAGGATAGGGGCGAATCGCCCAAGGGCGGGCATAATATATATATATATATATATATATATATATATATGTATATCCAAAGACGCCGATGGGCCGTGTCTTCGGCGAGGCTCCCAGAGGGATACGTGTAATGTCCACCCCTGGGCAATTCTCCCTTCGCCTCCGAGAACACCGGCATCAAGGAGTGCTCCGGCGGCGGGGGGTACCCGCGCAGCTGCACCGTGGCGGAGGCCCAGCGGAAGTCCTCGAATCCAGACATCCAGCCGCTCCCATTTCTTCGATGCATGGGCAACTTCCCAAGGGCCGTTTTTGGGTCTTGAGTTGTTTCTTGCTGGTCTGGAGGCCCAGCGAGGGCGCCAGGAGGCCGAACACGACCAAACGCCGCCTGCTCTGTTTCCCTGGAGCGTCGGATCTCTGGGGAGGCCCAACGGCAGTCCTCGAAGCTCAGCCCCGGCGCCTGGCGGCCCTCGGCCAGTGCGCGCCAGGCGCCGCCCTCCGCCCGCCAGCGCGCCTCCACGCCGCGCTGCCAGGCCTCCACGCGCGCCGCCAGCGGCAGCGCCGCCAGCGGCCCACGAAGCAGCTCCGCTGGCGCGTACTTCACGTCGAAGGCCGCCAGCTCCTCCCAGACATGCTCGCGTCGTGAACAAAATCAGGACGGGAGGTATTTTTTTCGTATTCGGCCTCTGGGAGCCTTCTCCAGGTCCCGGGAACGTCAAACAACGACTCGGGACGAGAAACCGGTCCCAAGGAGGTGGTCGAGAGGTCGGGGGCCCGAGTTTCGAAAAAGTCGACACGCCGGATTTTGTCCCACGCAATACATGGCAATGAAGGATCAACATCCGATGACATCCACCAGAGACCACGATCGCCAGTCGCAGAAAGCATGTCATGCGAGCGTGGCCGAAACTCGGGGCGGAAATTCGGGCAGTTGTTCGCCTGAGCGAGAGGAGGGAAGGAGGAGGAGGAGGAGGAGGAGGAGGAGGAGGAGGAGGAGGAGGAGGAGGAGGAAAAAGAGGACGAACAAGACGAGGGAGAGGGGAATGCTGATACGAAGATGTCCCCAATTCGTATCATCCAGCTCCGTGCACATCGCACTGAACTAAGAAAACTCAATGACAATCTAAGCGGCGGCAGCCCAAACCGAGCAGATCGACCAAACATCTGGCACAACAGTTCCGGGGAGGAGGCGGCGGAGGAAGGAGGGGGAAAGGAGGAAAAAGACGAGGAGAGGGAGAACAAAACAGAACCTCGAGGGTCCTAGCCCACCGATTCCCACGAGTCTGGGCGCCCTAAAGACCAAAAGCGTGCTTCCAGAGCGCCGCGCGAATGGGCGACACACTGTAACATATAAATCAGCAAAGTAAGCGTACAACTAGGCAGAGGCAATGGGCTAAGACCGCAACCGAAGACGAAGAAAGCAACGGGGAGAGAGGAGAAGACGAGACTGGGCTCCTAACCGCCGTCAAGCTGCCCCGTTCGGCACGTCCCGGAGCATAGCCGCCGCCCGGGCTCCCCAACCAATGCGGCTGGGCCCTTCGTCTACCGTCGCAACACATGGAGAACGCAAGCGTGGGGACCTCAGACTCGAAGCTTTCACGGTGGCCTCCGCCTGCTCCAGCTGCAGAACGAACGTGCCATCCAGCCAAATACTCCAGAAGACACGTGCCATCCAGCCATCGAGACGTCGGATGTCTGGGTCCTAGATCTTAAGATCTTAAGATCTGACGTTGCAAAGCGACTTGCGCCATCGCAGGGGATCACGACCTGAGCCCTAGACCCATCTTTCTGCGCCACTTGTCAGATCGATCTGTGAGGGTCCCAAGAACTGGGCGAAAGAGCCCGGTGTGACAAGATTGCCACGCCAGGATCTCAAGGGCTCCTCTCCTCGGGCGTGGGCAGCGCGCGGAGCCACGGGCCCCAGAAGCTGCCGCCGCCGCCCAGCTCCCGCCGCCGCTCCACCGCGAGCGCCAGCGCCAGCGCCTCCTCCGACGCGGCCGTCAGCAGCAGGCGCCGCGGCAACAGCACGGGAGCTGCGAGGCCCGCGGGGCCTGCCGCCCTCAGGCCGCGCACGCGTGCGCCGCCCTTGTCGAAGTTCGGGTGCGCTGAAGAGGGAGGCGAGGAAGCCCAGGGGGGGCGGGGGGGGGCGCGCACCATGGCCCGAGGCGCGTGTGAAGGCTGAGGCGGGGCCAGGACGTGCCTTGAGACGAGAAGGGAGAAGAGGGGGCCATGAGATCGGGGAGGGCTCCGTTGCCCTGGCCATGATGTCCACTCCCCCACCCCGCCCTCAACCCCCTCTTGGGTGCCCCCGAGAAGTGAGCCACCTCCACCTGCTCGAGCCCCCTGGCGCCCGCCTGCGCCGCCCAGCGCAGCAGCTCCTCCGCGGGCTCCTCGGGCGCCGCGCCAGGCATCTCGGGCCGCTCGGGCGCCCTCTCCCGGACCTCTCCTGACACGCAGCCAGGATCGGCACAGCATCGGACCGGGATACATCGGGGATCTCTGAGGCCCCGTGGTTCTGGAGGACGTGCCGGGCGCCGCGGCCGCTTCAGAGCGGTAAGGAATGCTCTGAGAACGTCCCGCATCGCTCTGGAACGATTCATCCCGTTCCTGGGCCTGCCTGATCTTCGCCAGGCCAGGAGCGTGCGCGGGGCGGCTCGGGCTGGGGGACGGCCACGGGCCCAAGTGGCCAACTCCGGAGACCATGAATTCAACAGTGTTGAAGTCTCGCTTTGCCTTCCGCCGCCTACCGCAGAGGTCCTTTACTGCTCACAGAACTGCGCCCGAAGATCTTCAGGACGGGCGCCTCGTGAGGGGCCCAGGAAAAAACCGGTCGAGCTTTGGCGCACGATATGGCTATGTCCATCGAGGTGGTGCCTTCGGAGCCTGCACAAAGTAGGGAATCGAACTCTATACACCGACGCTTCTTCCGGCCCTGCATCATAATATGCACTGGAGAGCGGATCCTGGTGTATACGGGACCCTGGTGTATACATTTTTCGTTGTTTCCCCGGGACATCGGGGAAAAAAGTATACACCACACCGCGCCAGCGGCGTCCTCGACCCTCAATAAATGCTGGGATTGAAAAACAGCCCGCCACTGGTAATGTATATGTTCCAATTTCCGACAAGGGTGTACGTCGGAACTGGATCAAAAAGGTGATTGCCCTGCCAGCTTCTCCCCCCGTTTCTGCCGCGCGTGCGCTGGCTTCCGCCGGCGGGGACGCCGCCGCTCTATACTCCCGCCGACTTCTGCCAGGGGGCGAGGGCGCGCCCGAAGCGAGGCTCCGTCTGGAAGGCCCCGAGCGGCCACGGAAGCATGACGAGCAGCAGCTTGCCGTCGCTCGGACGTCCATTTCCCGTGCATTTTTCGGTTTCGTGCGTTTTTTTTTTTTTTGTTTTGCTCGATGGTCCAGGATGGTCCTCGATGGTTCTCGCCGAGAAAAAATGCACATGTCCGAGCGATGCCAAGACAGGGGGTGGGCGGCGGAGGGGCATCTGGAGCAGGAGCAGGAGGAGGCGGAACGGGTGGTGCACGAAGCGGCGGGGCAGAGGAAGCGAGTGAGCAGTGAGCAGGCGGGGTGCAGTCAAAACTGATAGTGAGGATGCGCGGTAAGGGTGCAGGGGCCTTGGACGCCAATGCCGAAGCTTCTCCAGCGGGGCTGGCCATCGACAGTGGTGAGGATGGGCCGAAGATGGCTGAAGACTTGACTCAGAGGCAGCGCGAGGAGGTGGAGCTGTTGGAGGTAGCGCGAGGAGGTGGAGCTGTTGGAGGTGGGGCATGTGGAGGTGGAAGTGGAGAGGAGGAGCGCCTGGAGAGAGGCGGCCCTGGCCGGGCGAAGGGGAGGGGACGCCGATCGAGATGGGGCAGATGGGAGGAAGAGGCGGCAGCGAGCGAGGGAGGGAGGGAGGGGTGGGTGAGATAGGGGAACGAGCAAGGACGTAGACATACCAACTCGGGAGTCCGCGCGGATTCCTCGGATCGGCGCTGGGGCCCCCTGGCCGCGCCTCCTGCGCCGCCCCTGGCGCGCTCTGGGATCAAGCGCCGATCTGAAAAATCCGCGCGGCGCTCCGAGTTTTGATGTTTCTGCCATTATTGACTCCCATATTGGAACCCTATCTCTTCACTGCTCACACAGTCGACGCGGCCGCCAAGCGCGTTCTTGCCATCCACCCCGTGAGAAAAGACAGACGGATCGCCCCGTTTTCAAGCCAATAGGTTGCACGGCCGCAGCTGGGCGCACGCTCGTGCTTTATGGGGCGCCCCCTGATCTCCTGCAGTGGCTAACTTAAGCGATTGTCCCGAGTTCAGGCGTAGCATCATGTGCATCTTTATACATATAGATGCACATATAGGTATATGTATGTATTGCTCCCTGCCCCAGATGGGCAAGTAGGATCACATTCAGCGCTCCTGGATATCATACTTTGCCTCGCTGCAACATTATAAGCACGACCAATACAAGCACGACCAGATATCCGAAGCGGGGGAGCTTCATTCGAATGAATGATGTCGCGATCTAGATATGTAACTCTCGACGACCCGACGCGAGACAACATGATAACGACGGGCTTAACTGGGATGGCGCTATGAGAGGGACCCGCGTTGGGTCACTTCCTGGGTGTCACCCCGGCAGATCAAACCACACGTTCCCCCACGCTTCCATAGGTATAGCTCGCTGTAGGCCACGGATGGACAGCACGCACATGAGCATGCACGATATGGTAACCTCCGTCTCTGCAGCTGCCAGCCTGCAACATACTGCTACTACAGGTGAACACTGCACTGACTCTGAACTCGAAGAAACTGCAATGCTGGTTCCGACGTGGCATTCGTTGACACCCAATCCGTGATTGCCAGAGACCCCAGCAGCACAGTGTCCGCTCTGGGCCTGGGGAGCAAGCCGAAGGGGCACGCAGCTGGAGGCCCCCTCCCCCCCCCCTGGCACCACCTGCACACTACTGCCTGCGTCCCTTCCTTCCTTCCACGTCTCGTACCCGCAGCTCGGGGCTCGCGGGGGAACCCAAGCACGGGCCTGCCCCACCTATCTACAGCATCGATGGGGCCCGTGAGCTGCTACCGATCGCCTGGGGAGGTGTCGAGAAACGTGGCGCCACAAGGACGCGGTGTCGAACAACAGATGAGCAGGAGACGGAGTAGAAACGAATGTGCCATCTCTCATCCCGCTGCGACTCCCCTCGCCGCGACGACCATCTCTAATGCGTCCCTTCTCATCATCCCTCCCTCCTGTCCGTCCATTCCATTCCCACTCGTCTTCCCACTGGCACATTCGCCAATGACGCCCCCCCAATCCCCTCCACCCCCGATCTCTCCCATCCCTCCCTCTCCCGCCACGGCGGCGGAAGAGACAGTGGCGGGGGATGGGCGCGCATAGAAGCAATCTGTGATGTAAGTCTCGTGGCCGCTGGCCACGCCCAGCTTCTGTCTGAACACCTGCCTGTAGAACACAAGTGGCACCTGGCAGCGCTCGGAAGAACGGGCAACCGCATGCGGTACCGGCCTGGGTACACTTTGCATATCGATCCGTCTTGCTGCATTGCCGTACTTGGACATCCGACGTTCTGGTTTCCTCCGCCCCCTGGTGTTGGGCTCTCGTTCTTTCATCGCTGCGCAGCGCGACATCCCTTCCTTACTCCTCCTCCCGTCCCCTCTCTTCCTTCCTGCCACTACTGCCGCAACTGCTGTTGCAGCTGATGATCTCCCTGCCGCTGTTTCGTGCCCTCACGGAGACCCGGCTACGGCCCTAGTGGGCGCGCCCGAATGCGGTCCACCATCTGTCTTGCTGTTTCGAGATCTCGCGACAATCTGGGGGATGATCTGGGCGAAAATCTGGACGACGATCTGGGGGACAATCTGGAAGAAGATATGGAGGAACACCCGTGAGAAACTCTGGGGGGCGGTCTGGGTAGGATCTGTGCGAAAATGGGGGGGGGAAGGTCTGGGGGAAGATCTGGTGAGCTATACAGGAAAGTCGAAGAGAAGATCAGCAGGAGTCTCTGGGGGGAACCTGGGGAACAAATCTGGAGGAATATCGGCAATAACATTTGGGGGGAGATATGCATGCGGCTCTCGGCGAAGATGCAGGGGAAGATCTGGAGGAACATCTGGGACAACATCTACATACACATCTGGAGGATCTTGAGGGAGATCTGGGAAAATTCCTGGAACAAATCTGGAAGAACATCGCGGTTCAGATGTTTGGCGAAGATACGCAAGGAAACCCGGATGATGATCAGGCGGGGGGGGGGGCGAGGAAAACCTGATGAAATTTCGGGAGAACACCGAAGGGAACAGCTGCAATTATATCAAGAGGAACATCTCGGGGGGACTGGCAATAATATCTGGAGGAAGCTCATGAAAAAAGGGGGGATCTCGAGTAAGATCAGGGGGAAGATCCGGCGGACTATCTGGAATAAGATATGGAAGAAACACTGGGAGATTACGGGAAAGATATCTGGAAGAGACCTGGATGAACGTCTACGGCGAGATTATAGGGAAGATCCGGAGAGAGATCTGGAGAGAGATCTGGGGGCAGATCCAAGGAATGATGCGAACGAAGATCTGGGATAATATCACGGGGATATAATCAGTCGCTCACGAAAAGCACGGCGACAATCGCACAAACCAGGAGATATATTTTGACATCTTAAAATACATTTTTTCATGTTTGGGGTCGGGAGCATGGTTAATCGAGGGTGCTTGTTTCAATGCTACTCCCGTTTCGCGCGAAACTTCTCGACTCTGTCGGTGAATATAGCCCCGGCGGCGAGGGGGGGTGGCCCTGACGCGTGCTACGTGAGCTGCGTGCTATGTGAGCCGTTCCGCCGAAACCAGGTCAGGCGGCGGCAGGGGGGGGGGAGGGGCGGAAGGGAGGGGGGGGGAGAGAGGAGGAGAGGGGGGGGAAGGGGGAGGAGAAGGAGAGGAGGAGGAGGAGGAGGGGAGGAGGAGGGGGAGAAGGAGGAGGATGAGGAGGAGACACCCTTTGCCCACGCCGCATCGAACACTGGCCTCCGGGCAATGCCGACGAGGGCGAAGAGCCGCGCTGACGGCCGCAGTCGAGAGGAAGAGGAGGAAGTGGAGGAGGAGAAGGACGAAGAGGCAGAGGAGGAGACGCGCGGGGCCAACGTAGCGCAGGTCAGCAGGATTGGAGGCATCGCCCCTGACAGAGGAGGTTCGATGGAAAAGGAACTAGGAGGAGGAGGAGGAGGAGGAGGAGGAGGAGGAGGAGGCGGAGGAGGAGGAGGAGGAGGAGGAGGAGGAGGAGGGAGGAGGAGGAGGAGGAGGAGGAGGAGAGGAGGGGAGAGGAGAGGAGGAGGAGGAGGAGGGAGGAGGAGGAGGAAGAGAGGAGGAGGAGGAGGAGGAGGAGGAGGGGAGGAGGAGGAGGAGGAGGAGGAGGGGGGAGAGGATGGGACGAGGAGTGAGGATGAGGAGAGGCGGAGGGAGGAGGAGGAGGAGGAGGAGGAGGAGAGAGGAGGAGGAGGAGTAGAGTAGGAGTAGGAGTCAAGCTAGCCAGCTCGAGCGAGTCAAGCATGGCATGCCCAGTCCCACCCGCCCTCCCACAACATAAGAAGCAAAGCTGGCACAACTGGGGGCCGAAGTCACACCGGCCAGCCGGTTTGGTACAGCTGATGCGGCCGCGATGGCGGTTGCCGACGGGAACTGGCGAGCGCGTGTTGAATGCCGCGCACGCATTGCCAGACGAGTCGAGAATGGCCCGGTACACCGCAGGAAGCCAGAGGTGGCCGGAGGAAGCCCGACGGTCTGACAGGACACCCCAAAGCATTTTTGTGAAAAAGCATTGGGTTTTTGATGTTTTTATGTTGAAATGCTTGCAAAAACACGGTATTCGGTAGGATTCTGACATGAACGCGCGAGTGTGCTCTTTGTAGTATTTTTTGCACAGGATTCGCGGCCTGGGTGCATGACAGAGCATCGCGAGTGCACCGCGCGATGACGTGAAATCGCTGGATTTGACCGAATTCTTAAGATTCCTATGGTTTTCCTATGATTTCAGCAAGAGAGCCCGGGCGGGAAATTTGTACATTTTTTTGTGAAAAAGCATTGGGTTTTTGATGTTTTTATGTTGAAATGCTTGCAAACACACGGTGTTCGGTAGGATTATGACATGAACGCGCGCGTGTGCTCTTTGTGGTGTTTTTTGCAATGGATTATCGCCGTGGACGACAGGACGTCCATGTCGAGAGGAAAAAATAAGAAAAATATGGATTTTGTATTGTTTTTTATAGGTTAGGATGGGACCACCCGGATGCGCCCGCTATCTGCCGGCCTGAGGGGGGGTCGGAGACGACGGAAAGGGACGACTAAGGTCAGGAGGAGGAGGAGGAGGAGGAGGAGGAGGAGGAGGAGGGAGGAGGAGGAGGATGGTGGTGGAGAGGAGGGGAGGAGGCGGGGAGGAGGAGGAGGAGGTGGAGGAGGAGGAGGAGAAGGGGAGGAGGAGGTGAGAATGGGGGGCGGAGGAGGGACGGAGGAGGAGGAGGAGGAGGAGGAGGAGGAGGAGGTGGAGGAGGAGCGGAGGAGGAGGAGGAGGAGGTGGAGGAGGAGGAGGAGGAGGAGCAGGGAGGAGGCAGGAGGAGGAGGAGAGGAGGAGCAGGGGAGGAGCGAGGGGAGGCGGAGGGGGAGGCGGAGGAGGCGGGGAGGTGGAGGAGGAGGAGGCGGAGCCGGAGGAGGAGCGGCGGGGGAGGAGTAGGAGGAGGGGAGGAGGAGGCGGTGGAGGAGGAGGAGGCGGAGGAGGAGGAGGAGGAGGAGGAGGGGGATGGGGAGGAGGTAGTGGGTAGGAGGAGGAGGAGGAGGAGGAGGAGGAGGAGGAGGGGGGGGGAGGCGGGGGAGGCGGCGGGGAGGAGGAGGTGGAGGAGGAGGTAGGAGGGGAGTCGGCGGCGGAGGAGGGGAGGTGGAGTGGCGGTGGAGGAGAGGAGGAGGAGGCGGAGGGGAGGGGAGGAGGAGGAGGAGGAGGATGGGCGGGGGGATAGGAGGAGGCGTGAGGAGGAGGGGAGGAGGAAGTGAGGACGAGGAGGAGGAGGAAGGAGGGATGTGGAGGAGCGCAGGACGAGGAGGAGGAGGAAGAGAGGAGGTGGAGGAGGAGAGAAGAGGAGGAGGAGGGGGAGGAGGGGGGGGAGGAGGAGGAGGAGGATTTTGCCGCTGCACTTCTCTGCCCCGACTCATCGCGGTCCTCCTGGCAGCCAGCCAGGCAGTCGTCGAGCACGACACTTTGCAAACGCGCACCGGACAGAAAGTCATGCATGCGGAGCTGCCCGCAACGACGGGCCACGCGACAGGGCCATGCTCCCGTGAACGAGGCCAGGAGCTTCGCCCGTCGGGCGTCGACTTAAGCAAACAACCGAACCACACTGAGAGCATCCACGCCGAGCCATATTATATCGCTCTTCGGGTGCTTGCCAGCCAGGACTCGGTTCCAATATTGTTTTGACGAGCGGGGACAATGCGGCTTAACATTGCAACGCTGGTTCAAATAGCGCAAGTACCCACCCGTCGAGAAAGCCTTGCACTTCAGCCATATGCAAACCGCACTGCCGTCAGAACACGACAAAGCAATACATGTGTGACCCAGCTCGATGAGCTTGGCGTCATAGAGTTTGTGGGTAGACGCGCACGCACTGTTAGGGGGCCAGCAGAACCTGGAGACCCTCAAACATTGCGTACACTGCCAGCACGTGTCCTTAAAAACCCAGGAGTGGCGAGCCTTGGGTACTGGAAACAACAGCTCCTGCTGCGCACGAGCAGCCTGCGACAAATCACAGGCCGGCCACAACTGGAGCAATCCGGCAGCGAGCACACACACTTTACGTGAAATAGGAAGGGCTCGATCGAGCCACTCTGACTGCTCAGGGCTCGGCTTCTCATGGGCCAGGGCACCCAACTTAGCATAATGATCGGCGAGGTCATTACCCGCCTTGCAAAAAGTCAAATGATCGTCGCCAGAGACGTCATCCTCAGTCATATGACCCTTGACCTTGAAAATGGGGCCCATCTTAGAGTCCGCAGTCCAGATGAACATACCAGCGTGCACACGGTGAAAAGCGAGGTGTTCGGATCGGGGCAAAGACCAGAGCTGCACGACGTTCTGGCAATCACTAAGCCCGACCGATGGTTCGAGTGCATTCTTGCATGCTGCCGTACATGCAGCAAACTCACCTCCCTGCAGTGTCTGAAGGATGGGAAGAGCGAGAGGAGCGTACACATTACCCAACTCTTGCCCAGAATCGGAGACCGACACATACGACCAGCCCGTGCGTGACAGCTCACGTATGGCCGATTGAATGCAGGACCCGTCCATGAAAATGTTACCTCTAACATGATAGTCATCGCGCTCAAGGTCACACGCGCGTTGAAATATCGGCTCAGCCCTAGTAGGTGCAGGAAAGAAATCCCCAGGATGAGCCATGACCCCGTACGTGTACAAAACTTGGTCATGCACACTA